GGAGGTGGCTTTGTGGTATCCGAAGTAGAACATCTATTCTAGATTCAGTCATCGTTTTGTTCCATGTACATCAAGCTTGTGAACTCTCAAGTTTCCTCTTTCCACTACATATTCAAAATGAACAGTGATTTTATATGTGTGTTTGTATATATATGTATGTATGGTGCAGGTATATATTTATTTATGTATTATATAGCATGCATTGTGAATGTTATGTTTGTGTTTGGGTAGATGTACACTTTCTCTTGAGAGCAGGCAACAGAATTTCATTTTTAATGTGGGCCAGTGTGCTCACAGTAAAAAAAATGACAAAGTTTATCTTATCTTATCTCATCTTATCTCATCTCTTATCTCATCTCATCTCATCTCTTATCTCATCTCATCCATCTTATATCTTATCTTATATCTTATTTCATCTTGTATCTTATATCTTATCTTCCTTCCAACCCTGTTACTCTATGTTCTGTGTTTTGTATTTAATTTGGCAAGCTGATAACACCGTTAATTAATAAATTAAATATCTCTGGGACTGGTATCTGTTGAAATCAGGGAACTTCTCCAGACGTCGCTGATCCATGACTCTGAGTGCTCCTCACCAGAACAATAATTACTCTTGTGGAGTTGTCTAGGGTGTTTTACTAGATGCAACTGTCTCCGTCCCTACAACCCCCCCACTCCATTTAGATGATGAGACCCAGTTAAGCAAAGAAATGAAATTGGTGTCTAGACTAAGAGGCATGTTTTTACTTCCGATGATGAACAGTTCAAAATAGAGACTAAACGACCCATGACCTGTTATTTTAGAGATATTTCCTTACCAGATTCCTTCAACACTGACAGAGTTTCTAATGTAGGGAATAGGACAATTCATTTCACCGTGGCCAATTCACCATGGCCAATTTGCCGTGGTCATTTTGGTGCAGCAAACTAGCCAGGAGATAGCTCTCCGTGGCCAACTTGCCACAGGACAACTCCTCATGGAAAATTCCATAGGGGATAACTCAACAAAACAAATGTTATCCGCCACTGTTTCTTTGACATAATTTCCATTATTGTGAATGGAAATAATGTCAAAAGTAACAGTGGTGGATAGCATTGATCGCATTGAGTTATCCCGTGTGGAATTTTCTGTGGCGGGTTGTCCCACAGCAAGTTGGCCATGGGGAGTTGTCCATGGGGAGTTGGCTAGAGTGAGATGATCATGGTGAAATGGCCAGGGCAAATTGGTTGTGGTGAATGTCCTAGGCCAGAGTTCCCAATCTTTCTGAGTTGGCAGTCCAAAGGGGGGGGGAGAAGGGAAGAGGGGATGGTTACGTGGGAGGGGTAGGCACATGTGCATTTGGGTACACAGACATGAACACTCATTGCTCGTGTGAGTGGGGCCGTGAGTGCTTGCAATGATGCTTGTGTGAGTAGGGTCATGAGCACCCACAATGCTTGTGGCAACTCTTGTGCAAAAATGAACTCTCTGAGTGCCCACACAAGTGAGGCCATAAGTGCCCACAATACCCGTGGTGACACTCACACAAGTGAGGCTATGAGTGCCCACACGAGTGGGGCGGTGAGTGCCAGAAACACTAGTGATGGTCACGTGAGTGAGGTTGTGAGTGCTTGCATTTGGACACCGGGCCGCGGCCCAGTAGTGGTCAATGGCCCAGAGGTTGGGGACCCCTGTCCTAGACCCTTCAATGTACTGCCTTCCCTGGAAAAAGTTCATAAAAATTTGGGGAGATATTCAGAGATGTATTTATCTTGCAAATAGCCCAGGTGGAGTACATACCATAGTTATTGATCAGGACTTGTCCTCAAGAGATGTCTTATCAGCAGTTCTTAACTTTTTCTTCATCACGGACCCACTTAAAATATCTTTTGTGACCACAGAGCATGGCCATAGACCACCAAGATTTAACTCAAGATTTAAATCATAACATTTCTTCAGGGATCCCCTGTGATGACATCGTGCCCACCCCCCCCAGGGCTCCGTGGACCGCAGGTTCAGAATCAATATCTTATGACATGGTGTATTATGTCATGGAATGTTTTATATGTTTTGCCAAATTTCAATTCCACATAGTCATCTGTCCTTGATTTTGGACACATTTTGTAAGTTAGCCCATCTGAGGTACCTTGGTTCAAAAATTGTTGCCCTACGATGCACTGTTTCACCCCATTAATGCTTACCATAGAGACAAACAGGAGAGTAAAAAGTATTGTTTGTACACCATCCAGAATCACTGAGAGTGAGTAGGCGGCCATATAAATCGTCTAAATCAAAAAATCAATCAATCATATGCAAGGAACACTTTGTTTTTTTATTTATTTGCCTGTCGGCAGTAGCTTAGCAAAGTAATAGTTGAGCCTGGTTTTTCAATTAACTCAGAGCATCCAATACTTGGGAAAAGACGGGGAGGTTCCACTTGGCAGAACAGCCTAAAATTTGGCTGAATTGCTTGCATTCCTGCTTGTTAAAGTGATCTTTCCATGATATGTTCAGCCCAAATATCTCTCTCTGGACATCCTGGATCGTGATTTTCCAGAAGACAGCTGGAACCTGAGGTTAGAAAAACGCCACCCATGTTGATCTGAATACCAGGAAATATCAGTGGTTTATTTGGTCCTCTTTTTCCTTTTTTGCACTTGTTAAAAGGGGAATGTCAGCAGACTGGTTTTGGTGACGGGAAATCTGGTTTTGTGTTTTGTTTACAGCTTGCTTGTCTGAATTTGCTTCCCTCCTGTCCCCAGGCTTGTAGCTAGCATCTTCTCTCAGATGGTTACATCCAAAAGGTAGTGCATTGGAGAAGACAGGTATATAAGATCTGGCTTCCCTTCTGACTCACCATGGTGACTGGGGGATTCTGGGAGTTGAAGTCCACACATCTTAAATTGGCTGTTGTTGAGAAAACACTGCTGTAGCATCTTGTTTGTGGTCCAACGTTCAAAATAGAGGAAGCCAGTTCCTCTATTACCATTCTTTCTTTTTGCATAGCATTAGCATTGACCAGACAGTTTTATCCATCAGCATCCTTTTATTTATAATGTGTATTTTTCAACATTTAGAGTAAAATAAGATATTGTGGAGAGGTTTTTTGAGCACATCCAACTAGGAGGGGAAATTATGTTCTTTGAACTGTTGACAGGGTAATGAGAGATAAAAATTAACGAAAAAAGACAGAACGCAGACAAATTAATCTAAACTTCTTCAAAGTCCTCTTTTTTGGTCTTTTAAAACTAAGGTACAGTTAGTCCTTGGCTTTCAATCAGAATTGAGGCCAAAATTTATATTGTTAAGAAAGACAGTTAAATATGAGTTTTGCCTCATTTTATGATCTTCCTGCCACTGTTGTTAAATGAATCTGCAGTTGTTAAGTGAATTATGCAGTCATTAAATGAATCTGGATTTTCCTCATTAACATTGCTTGTCAGAAGCTGGCTGGGAAGATAGTGATCACAGCTATCTTAAATACATGCCAGTTGGCAAGTGCCCAAATTTTGATCACATACTGTGGGAATGTTGCAACGATTGTAAGTGTGAAAATTGGTAATGTCCTTTTTTTTCAGTGCCATTGTAACTTTGAACAATCACTAAATGAATGGTTGTGAGTCAAGAAATGCCTGTATATGTAGACTAACAACCCAGAACAATAGCTAGCTACAAATGAATTGTAGAGTTATTATCATTGTAGTATGGACTAATATTTCTTTTGGTTATGTCTCAAGCACAAAGTCACGTAGCCCTTGACTATAAATGGAGGCATTATAGTAAGTTTCCTGGCTTACTATAATGGATTTCAGCAATAATTAGAGAAGCACACACACACCCTGCAATTAGGACTGATTCATGGAGTTCTTCATTCATTCTGAGCTTGGTCGGGTTTGTTTTGCAGGCGTTTTACTACCCAAGCTAGATAACATCATCAGTGCTGGTAAGGAGTGGGGTTTGCTCTCAGTTTATATATTCTAGTAGTGGTTTGCCCTGGAATGGTCTTAGAGGTTCTTTGGTTGGGCTGTTTACTGTTGGCTTGTTTGACCAACAGTTTCTTGGGGTATTGTTTACTTGATTGTTGGGTCTAATGTTAGTCTATGTTCATCTGGGTGCTGATTGCTGGTGGAGAGGTGCTGAGGCAGTGGTGGGTTGCTCCCGGTTCTGTCCGTTTTTTGCGAACTGGTAGTAAAAGCGGCAGGAGGGTTCGCCTACCCGTCCTGATGTCATAATGGACGATCTGTGCATGCACAGAAGCGCATGCGCACGAGCAAAGTGAGTGTGCATGCGTGCTCCCATTGCGAACCGGTAGTAAAGGTAAGTAGAACCCATCCCTGTGCTGAGGTCTCTTTGTTCTCCCTTTTGACTTTTGATTATTTCTTTTGCACAGTCTATAGGTATTATTCATGTCTGTCTATTGATAGCCAGTGCCGGGCTTCTAGAAATTCCCTAGCATTTTGGAACTTGGCTTGGTCTGGGATGGTTTCCCAATTGAAACTATAGTTAAGAGCTGATTCAAACCCATCCCCCCCCCCCCCCCGGTCGCCCCCATTCAGAAGTTCCAAAACAAACAATTTAGAAAAATACTCAACATTTGAGAACTTGGACAAAAAAGAGCTATTGTCCTTCTGGTACACAGCAGTGATGCCAACAATATCTAGGAGCAATTGCATGAAAGACAGCGATGATCCATGACTGTTGGTTCATTGCCTTTCTCTTTGGAAAATGCCACTTGGTAAGTCAGTGAATTTCCTAGAAACGGTGGGAAAGAACAGATGCATTCCAGTGGTTCATATTTTTTTTTTACTCCTTTCCCTCCCTTCCATCTGGAGTATTGTCTCAGGGTCCTTCCTTTTTCCCATATGTGACACATATGGTTCTTACGGTTGCTCTTGAGTTCATGTTCTTAATCTCCGCCTAGGGAATCTACAATTTCTGCTTTTGTTGGTTTGCCTACTTCCACTCATTCCGACTTCTTGTAGTCCCGTTTTAAATGTGTTCTTTGGTTCTCCCTTTCCAGCACAGATGAGGTTGGCTAGCAAAAACCAGATCTACCTGGTGACAGGAGGCTGTGGTTTCCTGGGAAAACATCTGGTTGAAATGCTTCTGGAACAAGAGCCCAACCTTGCTGAAATACGGGTCTTTGACTTGCATCTGGATCAAAGTATGCACAGCTGGGACAGAGGTAAGTCAGTCCTCTTTTTTTCTATGCACAAAGAAAGTCCACGTACCTGGTCATTAGTACGTGCTCACTTGGATTAAATCATCATTACATCTCTTGAGTTGTTCCCCTTTTTCTGCAGGATTGTTCATTTGAATCTCCAACTGAGCCAGAGAGATCACAGAGAAAGTCTGTTTCTGAGTTTGGGACTGAAGCTCCACTTATTATTTCTCCGTTTTCTTTGTTCATAGCAATGTATTTGTTTGTTTGTTTGTTCAGTTGCTGAGACATGTCCGACTCTTTGCGACCCCATGGACCATAGCACGCCAGGCCTCCTTGCCCTCCACTTTCTTCATGTTCATTGCATTAATGACACTATTTAACTATCTCACACTTTGTCTTCTTCTTTGGCCTTCCATCTTTCCCAACAGCAGGGTCTTTTCCAATGAGTCTTCTCTCTTCTAATTTGGTGGCCAAAGTATTTGAACTTCAGTATCTATCTGACTTTCCAAAGGACAGTCAGTGTTGATTGACTGATTTGATCACCTTTCATTCTAAGGGACTCTCAAGAATTTTCTCCAACACCATTTATTTATATCCTGCCCTTATTATTTTTACAAATAACTCAAGGTGGCAAACATATCTAACACACCTTCCTCCTCCTATATTCCCCACAACAATAACCTCATGAGGTGAGTTGGGCTGAGGGACAGTGATTGGCCTAATCACTCAGCTGGCTTCCATGGCTGAGGCAGGATTTGAATTTACGATCTCTCACGTTCTAGCCTGGTGCCGTAACCACTGGACTAAACTGGCTCTCTAACAATTATAGGAGGCACTTCTCCATGAAAAAAAAAACAATGATTTTATCTAGGATCCCTTCTGCCGATCGCTGTCCAGTACAAAAGAGTCTCTGTGTCCCAATATCCCTGGTATGGGTATGATAATACCATTGGGATGACAGCCTTAAAGGGGAAGCAATTTTTTTTAAAAAAAATATTTTGTATGTGATTTATTTAAACTCTTCATTTCTAATGATTTTAGGAAGCAAATGAAATTTGTGAACTCATAAGACATTTGAACCAAAATCCAGTTCCTTGGAAAACTTTGTATCCCAAATTGCTGGTTTAATATTACTTGCCATTGCTTGGCAGTGTGGAGAATGTGTTTTAGGTCATTCTCTTTTATTTCCAAGTTATTACTTGTTAGCATTATTAGTTTTATATTTATCTCATTTGTTCTTCAGAAAGAGCCCAGGGCAGAGTACAAAAGGAAAAACAACATTAAAACAACCTTCAGTAAAAATAACTTAATAAAAAACTCAGCTCAGCACTAAACCAATCTGGCTTTTTAAAGAAACCCTATAAAAAATATAAAAATATAGCTATTAAAATAGGATTTGCTTTAAAAAGGCAATCTAGTCTTTGAGAAGTTGTTATTCTATCTTATTCTTCCAGATTCTTTTACAGAGCCCTAGGTTAAATTGTAAGCTTTTATATAAGTGGAAAAATTAAATCTTTCCCCCACCACTTTTGGTGATGAATGTACCGTATTTTTCGGACTATAAAACGCTCAGAAGTATAAGATGCACCTAGCTTTTGGGGAAGAAAACAAGGGGAAAAAATCTGCCTCTGCCTCTGCCTCCCAGCAATTTACCTCCTTGCAGTAAACAGCCAACAGCCTGGTCAGCTTCAGCACAGCCTGATTTAGCACAAGCAGCTGTTTGGCGGCTGGATCAGCCTTCCGGAATACCACTTTATCAGCTGTTCTAGGCTGCAGAGATCGCCGCTGTCACCACGCATCGCTGCTGTCTATCGCTGTCTCTGGGTGCCCCATTTTCAGACTCTGGGCATCCCATTTTTGGACAGTTCCAGGTGGTGGGGATCGCCGCCGCCTATCTCTGCCACTTGGAACGGGTCAAAAAGTGGGATGCGCGGAGGCTGAAGATGGGGCGCAGAGAGGCCGAAAATGGGGTGCGCGGAGGCGGCGATAGGCAGCAGCAGCGATGGCAACGGGAGGTCGCGATGCCTGCAGCCTGGAACAGCTGATAGGTGATATTCTGGGAGGCTGATCCAACTGACAATCAGCTGCTTGTGCTAAATCAGGCTGTGCTGAAACTGACCAGCTGTTTGCTGCAAGGAGGTAAATTGCTGGGAGGCAGAGCCTGAAGGGTGGGGGCCAGCGGGTGGTCGGGTCTTCAGCAACATTCACTATTTAAAATGCACAGACATTTCCACCCACATTTTTTGGGGGAAAGTGCATCTTATACACCGAAAAATACAGTATGTTTTACAGTCTATCAGCCCAACTATGCTAATTTTCTTTAAGTTTTTGGATGAGACCCTGTTCTTTAAATGATGCTGGCATTTTCAGATACAAAGATCCTCTTTTTTTTTTTTAAGGCAGCTGGTTTCATTTTTCTCTCTCTTCAAGCAGTCTCTTCAAAAATAAGCTTACGAGTAAAGTCTGTATATATGATTTGTAGGTTGTAGACATAAAAATGCATACTGGCAGCCAATAATTTATTTTTTCCTCAATGCCTGACCTTTGAATCACTTTGGCACAGCTGAAATTGGCACGTTGGGGCATATTTTAAAAGAAATCTTATATTTAGAAAATGGTAACCTTGGAAAGATTGTTGAGACAAACCAAGCCCCTATTGGCTTACTTGAACAAGAGCAAATGCAAGGGAGTTCTTTTGCTCCTCAGTGAACTTGTATTTTAATCCCCCTACCTAACTGGTTTCAGTGGGACCAGCTTCAGGTTAACATAGGTTTGTGTTTGTCAACCTCGGCAACTTTTAAGGTATATGGACTTCAGCTCCCAGAATTCCCCAGCCAGCATGGGATCTTGACAGACTTGAGCACTGGGCCCTATTTAACAAAAATGAAATTTAATGTGAAGAAGCATAAGGTTTTACACTTAGGCAGGAATAACCAAAGGTACAAGTACAGATTAGGTGAAACCTGGCTCAAAAACAGTAATTGTGAGAGGGATCTTGGAGTCCTAGTGGACAATCACTTAAATATGAGTCAGCAGTCCGTGGCAGCAGCCAAAAAAAGCTAGTATAATTCTTGGTTGTATAAACAGAGGCATAGAATCAAAATCATGTGAAGTATTAGTACTGCTTTATAAAGCCTTAGTAAGGCCACACCTGGAATACTGCATCTAGTTTTGGTCACTACATTACAAAAAAATGTTGAGACTTTGGGAAAAGTGCAGAGAAGAGCAACTAAGATGATTAAAGGCCTGGAGACCAAAACATATGAAGAACAGTTGCAGAATGTGGGTATGTCTAGTCTAGAGAAAAGAAAGATTAGGAGTGTCAATATAGCAGTATTCCAGTATTTGAGTGGCTGCAACAAGGAAGAGGGGGGTCAACTCAACTTATTTTCCAAAGTACCAGAGGGCAGGATAAAAATCCATCCATTCATTTTGCAATGGATGGAAACTAATCAAGGAGAGAAGCAACCTGGAATTAAGGAGAAATTTCCTAACACTGAAGACAATTAACCAGTAGAACAGTTTGCCTTTAGAATAAGCATGCTTATAACTCTTAATTCGATTTGATTTGTGAATAATAAAAAAAGAAAAGAACCAACATTGGGTTTATAGTTAAGATGGATTGACAATGGGAAAACTCCGGTCTTCAGTCATGGAAGTTTGGGACATCATCCAGCCCAGAAGGTGTGTCTTCCATAAAAACAGCCAACTAATATGTCTTTTATTTTCATTAAGTGAACTGTGAGCTGCCCTTTGGCAACCTCACAGCTGCTGACCAGCTGTTAAAAGCACAATGATATCCTGAGATGAGATACTGCTCTAAAGTATAATAAGAGGGTTTGGTCATGCAAGGAAGTGCCTTGCTCTATTTGAGGGTCACCCAAGGAAGTGCTTTGCCCTCCTTAGGACCTTTGTGATAAAAGAAAACACAAAGCCAAGCCAGCGGCAAATATATATGTGCGTATGTACGAAGAAGCAGAGAAGAGTCAGAGCTGAAAAACAGATGGTTGTAGTTTGCTCTCAGACACACGCCTGGCCTGCATCCCTCAACCAAACCCTTTTTGACAAAGTATTTTTGGCAAAATGCAAACCGCCTTCAGTAGCTAGCAACTCTGTAGAGAGATGATCAACAGGAAGAAGGAAAAATATGGACAATATTGCCAGGATCAATGCCCAATAGGATTGGCTTCGGCTGAGATGGCATGAACTCACACTTGGACTCTTTACTCTTTTGATTTTGCTGCAAACCAGCTTGGTCTCATTCCAAGACAAGCCATACTCAGCCTGAAAAATGTATTTAACTTTGATTCTAGGAAGTGAAGCCCATTAAACTCCATCAACTTTGCAAGATGAAAATAGTTGAATAAAGAAATTGCAGCACAGGAAAGCCACTGAGGTCTTTTGGGTCAATATTCAATGCTGTAGCCTTTAATTTAAATTCTACACTGTAATATATCATCATTAGATACCCTCTCTTTCTCTGCAAACAGTTGGCTTATAAACACACACAATATGTGCATCCCACTGTGTGTCATTTCCTTTGGCCATTGAAGATGCTTCGTATGTGACATTCTTCTCAATAATTGAAAAGTTGAAGCTTATAACACTGGGCTTCAGTCCTTGGTTTGATGGTTTAATTGGGGGATGAATCAAAATTCAAACATACTTGGAAAGAATGCAGACTGCAGCCCTTCAAGGTAGGCTAGATCAGGAAACAGCCTCTAACCAGAATTCTGTTATTAATATCAGCTGTAGTAACAAAAACTGATTTCTCCTTCCCTCCCCCTTTTAGCCCCATGAATGATGTTAGAAGAAATCTGACCCAGGCTGAAATCTTATCTTTGGAAGTGTCATCTCTGCCTTATTTCTCTGTGGTTCTCTACAGCAGGATGTAATGTAATACAATTATTACATGTAATGTAATAATAATTACAATAATGTAATTACATGTAATGTAATAATGTAATATAGCAGGATGTAAACCTTGGGACAGATAGCACTTCAAATGTCTGTAGGATTTA